CGCAAATCGCGAAGCTTTTTGGTTGTGATTGGTCAATTCATTTTCATGTGACGTCACAGTACCCTCCTCTTTGGATATTCATGGGCAAAATTCTGTATTCATGAAATTAAAATAGTTCTTCAATATTTTGATAACTGTCAATTAATGGCCTATTATATTTTGGAGAACTTCGTGAATTTATATTTCCCAGGCAAGATTGAGTTCTATTTTGGAAGATTAAAATTGCCACTCGAGTGTAGGAACGAAAATCAGTTAAGAACTGCTTTTGAGTCTTCGGCCCACGGACTATTGAGGCAGTGGGAGCTTCGGGGATTACACAAACAATTACTCGAGTCACAGCGGATAGTTGCAGATGACTGACTAAGTCGCTCACTAACTGATCATCGGGCGGCCTCGCTTGTATTTATACCTACCTGCAAGGATTGTTCGGGAATTGGATATTTCCGGATCTTTCGAGAAAACAGAACAATGAATCGAAAATGCGAGAGTGTCTGGAAGTTTCGAGCGAAGATGAGTCATCTGTTTAGGTCGGATGGATTTGTCCAGAATACTATTGTGTTTTGAATATCGCCGCAGGTAGTTTTTATGCGGGTCGTCACATTACGAAGTAAGAACGCGGTCAAACATTCTCCCGACGGCACTCTTAAACGGGCCGGATCAAGCCTTTCCGCGGGCCGTAGTTTCCCCATCACTGCTCTACAGTAATGATTCAGATCATAGTCGAAAGCAACAAACATATAAATTAGATTAAAAAACCTTTATCTACACAAAAAATTATTTCAGAAAAATTCAAATTCTTTTTTAATGAATTTATATTTTTCATTATTATTAGAAAAACCAACAAATAATCAAATAATAGAAGACCCTATGAAAAGATCATTTTTAAAATTTTCTTTATTTTACATTTCTCTTAATATTTCTCAGTTTTTATTTAGTTAAATTAACTAACACGCTAATTTAACAAAGTACTAAACAATACAACATGTTTATGAGCTCTTCTCGCAACTGTCTTGAACTCAACATTCATAACATGAGGTGAAATTTTTTTGTCATCTAATTAAAAAAAAAATCACATTTTTTCTTAATGCAATTTATTAATAGAATAAAAAGAAATTTTGTACACCTTTCACTAGTAATTTATTAACAAATTTTAAAAAATGCAATTAAAACAAAAATTTAATCAGTTGGAAAAAAAAACATTTGTTTATAATTAATTTTTCATTTTCATTTTTAATTTTTATTTTTTTAATAAATATGCACATACCATCTATGAAATATATAATTATATCTCTGATTACAAAAATTTACCACTGCATTTTGTTTTGAAACAATCATTTTTGTGACTTCACAAACAAATGATCCTTGCTTTTCTCAATTTTTTAGCTTGGTTATAAAAGACAAGCGTCCCATTGCCTTCAATACAGTATCAATAGTGCTTTGACAACTTTGTGAAAATTGTAAAATTACTAATATTACAATAAAACATGTATTATTCACAACATGTATGATTAAGTACAAAAAAAAACCTGAAAAAAGAAAGAAACCCTCAAGAACCTTTCTAGTGCTTGTCCTCAGTCCTCAGCCTAAATCAATAAATTTTCAGAAAAAAATAGTTCTCCAAGAAAGTAATTATAAGAACATTAAACCAAACCACTAATTATTGATTTTAAAAGAAATCTTCATATTTGAAAATTCCTGTTTACATAAAAATAAAGTCTGTGCTTGTTTCTTTTTCACACACATTAGGAGAAAAGGTGAAACACAGTCTTTAATCAATGACACGTCTCAAAGTGAAAAAAAAATTTCAGTTTATTTCAAGAAGATAAAGTGAATTTGAGATTCTCAGTAAAATCTTAAAGTTTCAATCAATTTTTTTTTCTTTTCTTTGCACCAATGATAAAAGTTTTTGATTTTTCCTTTTTTTTTTTTGGTGCAAAATATTATATAATAAAAAACCAAAAAGACTAACTTGGTCTCTTGTCCATCTTACAAAATGTCACCAATCGAGTTGCACTTGTAACATTGTGCAAGAATCCAATATTTTAAACATATTCTTCGAAAAATCATACCACATTGAGTAAAATATGCATTGTTTCTCATTGTTTCAATAAGAATTTCAGCAATTAATGGAAAATTGCACAGTTTTGTCATTGATAAATAATCTACTATTACTTCCATTTATAAGTGATAACTTCTCAGCAAATAAATTTCAAGCATAAACAATAGCAAGACAAAACCTTGCCTTTTATTCAAATACAGAAATACTTTACTTTTCCAGAATAAAGCTTGACAATACTTTATTTTTCTTCAGTTATAGCAATTACCTCATTTTATATTAATACCTCATACTAGATTAATAATAATATAATAATAATTTTAGATTAGAATTAGATTAATAAATTTGATTTATAAAATATTCAAATATCACAAAAAAATTAAAACATTTCACAAGAGTAAGTTTAAATCAAATGCTTTTTTCTAACTTACTTATAAGAAAATTGCGGGAAACAGTATGTTGAAAGTTAGATTCCAGAGGAACCAAGTTTCGTCCCTGGAAAATAAAAGTTTAAAATACACAAAACCTGTTTGGTGGCTTTTCTGATATATTTAAAACTGAATAAATCAAATTTCTCATTCTTTAAATAAAAAGGATTCAATAGAACATCTCTCATAAATGATAACTAAGTTCAGAAAGAAAATTTTTTAAATAATAGTATAATGAAGTATAATTCATTACTGCAATTTCACCATTTATGAATTCTATGTTTATAAACTTTAAAAGCATATAACTCAGTCAGGGCTTGATTTAGAAATCTGGAGCCTGTAGGAACAGGAATGTCTGAGACCTCACTAGTTATAAATTCAAACCATTTATAACATAAGTTAATTATAATATATTAGTAAATTTTAACTTATATTTATTTCAATAATTTTATATTTATTTTAAAAATTTGTTAATTCATGATTCCAATTGACTATTTTTAACATTTAAAGAGGCCCCAAAAAGGAATGGGCACAGGTTTTTTAGGCCTTAAACTGAGTTTTAAAAAAAAAATTAAACAGTTCTAATATTTTTTTTTAAAAAAAAATAACTCTGGTAGTCATTTACTCCAATTTTTCGCAGCATTCGGAAGTTTAAAAAAAAATGTCCTTCAGTTTTACAAATAGAACACAATATGTTAAAACACTACAGCCAGTTTTAAAAGTTTAAAAAAATAAAGTGAATTAAAATGAACCCAAGAATCATTTAAACAAAGATTATTAGAACAACTTTTTTTTTTTCCAACTAAGTTATATGCATTTGAAGTCTGCTAACATGACACTAAATAATTAAATTGACCAACATTACAATTCAGTATAATGCAATGATGCAAGTCTTTATTAAATTTAAATTACATACTTTACATCTGTATTAAATTTAAATCTATACTTTGTTAAATTTAAATTACATACTTTACATTTAAATTTAGTACTGAGAAATCACAAAAGACATTCAAATGTGCATTATAAGTGCCTTTTTCAAAGGTTCAAACTAGGTTCCTTAACATTTTTGAAAATATCTGGCTAAACATAAATAATTTAAGCAAAAAGTAATCTTTTTGCAGCTGCTCCTATTTAGGAATATAGCCTTTCTTGGGAGAATTTCCATATTGGGACTTGTGCCAAAATGGCACCTAGGTAGTAGCAGATGAAAAACAAAATAATTATCATAAAAATTAAGGTCAATTTATAAAGTAAAGCTCATCTTAACCCCTGAGTAATTTATATCATTATTTTTTTTAAATTCAAAATACAATAATAATGCGGTTTTGATGGGCATCTTTATCTGATTTTCTTTTGATTTAAAACTATAATTGTATTGTTTTTGAAAATCAAGTAGGAATGAAAACTTCTTGCCCAACAAGTAGACTTTTTTTATTTAACCCTTTCGAGCCGACTGTCACATATATGTGCCAGCAAGAAACGTGCTCACTTCCCGGCTGACACACCCGCGTGTCAGAGAGTTTTCTCGTTCACCCCCGACCGTCACTTATTTGTGCCAGCGTTTCGGAACGTTTTAAAAAATGAAATTTCTTCCAAAAGATGGCATTGTATGTCCATATGGTTTCAGATACATGTAGATTTGACCTTCTACTCAAGATGAAAGTACATTCACGTGGTTTTTAGGGGAAGGAGTGGAGGGGGGGAATGTTTTATGAGGGCTCTTTAAATTAGCACGTGATATTTATTTACAGTAAGTAAGGGAGTTTTTTTTTCCCTCGCTACTTTCGATTTTCGGATTAGTTTTTAGTGGATAAATAGATCTTGTAGGCTTGAATTTTTTTTCTTTTTACCGTTAGAATGTCGAAGCGTCGAAAAATTTTAACTGAGCTGCAAGTTCAGATTTGTAATGTTAAATGTTTTAAAATAACAAGTACATAATGAAAATAAAATGTGTAAAATATACATTTAAACAAGAAATAACTTAAGTAAAGTAAATAAAGTATCCATAGAAATATATATAAAGCATATGTCACTTAAATACTCTACAGAACAATATTAAACAACGTGCTGATATTTCGGTAATTTCATGGAATTAGGCTTAACATCAAAAAACCCTCCGGCCCTGGGGAGACACACGCTAGAGAGACTGCCGGCCTCAGCGGTAAGCGCGCTTTCGCGCTTTGCGTCGCGAAAGGGTTAAGAATGGATTCAGTGCCCGTGCTAAGCATTTGCCACCTCGCCAAATGCAATAAAATCGTAAATTCAGCTATTCCTATTCCTTCCCATTCATTGCACAATTACTCCTCCCCATTTGCAAATTGACTCTTGATTTGAATTTTATAAAATAATTCAATTTATAGTAAATTTGTATTTTAATTTGAAGTTTTTCACAGAAAAAAAATTAAATTTAAAAAAATTTAAAATTTTGCCTCAGACCAAAAATCTTGAAAATTGACTAATACTTTTGACATTCGGATAATTTACTGGCTAATAGTTTAAAAACCTTAGAACTGGCCCTGCTATTATTTTTTTTTACTTTGTTATCATTTGATTATCCTTATATATTCCAAATTCATTTAATGGTCCATGCATAACTTCTGACAAATTGTTTGTCATAACCGATTATATATGCAGTTAAGTAAAAGGCATTGGGTCAGTACCACAATATGGAATTCGTTCAAAATTCCTTCAGATTTTAGAAAACAAACAATTGTTTGACGGTCCACTTAACGAACGATCTAGCTCTTAGTTTTCATGTGACATCATTATTCTTTAGTTAAAGATAACTCTTTTATCAATATTTTAAATAATTCTACCAAGAAAATGACAATAAAAAAGTTATAACCATAGAAAATAAAACACAATCATGACTTCAAGAAACTTTCGTACGGAATCTGATTTGATCGCTTTACTTAAAATGCACAAAAACTTTCCTTATGAATCTGATTTGATCGCTTTGCTTAAAATGCACAAAGTAAATTCTCAATTTTCTATGAAATTTTATATTGATGAAAAAGTTACAATAAATACTTTCGGGGCAGCGTTGGAAAATATTTTGAATTAAAATGAAGATTTTGTATTCAAAACATTTCAATTCAACTCAAAATTGCTTGTTTATAACAATAAGAAAAGAATGGAATATCGTCACTCCTCTATTAAAATTAAAACCATTTAAACTTATTTGTCAGCAATTCCTTTTATATCCATAATTACAAACCTTTCTTTTACAGATATTGTATATTTTTATAACTTTAATCCTCAATTGTTATTTCTCATGATTTCAATTCATATCAGAAATGAATTGATACTGTTTTCTATGTACAAAATGTTTAAAATACCAATCATAAAGAATCAATAAAAATTTTGTAAATAACTCATTTAAATTGAAAAGGATTGAGATATAACCAAACGTCCTAAATACGACCCTATGAAAAGATTTTTTTTTAAAGTAAATTTGAACAGAAAACATTACTATACTTATAACAAAGATCCCGATAAAGAAATTCGCGCGGCTACTCTTGTTTTGGTAATGCAGTCGGGATATCTGTATTTTAGTCTGAGAATAATAATGATAAAATAACTAATAAAAAGAAATAGAAAAATAATAGAGAATAAAAACCTTGCTAAGAATGCTTCTTGCAAAGCGAAACATGTTGGTAAAACTTTATAAATATTAATATACTGTGTGAAAAAAGAAAATTGTACTCTGTTTCGGACGAACCAGACGTGATAAAAACCCGATATAAATGATAGATTGATTGTAAACAACAAGGGCTGAACTAGATCGCAAATGATCACGCGAATGATCATTTACGATTGAAACGTTCGAATACGCCATCTAAGGAGAAGACCGGTTCCATGGTATGACACTTTCCTCTCCTCCTTTTCCCAGCCTCTGGAATGTACCACGATATTTTCCCCTTTCCTTATTACTTTTCATATTTAAATGTCACAAATATTTTTTAAAGTTTCCACGACGCGTTTTTTTGAAACTATGTTCAATGTAGTTTCCAGTTCCATGTAGTTTCTTTAAAATTTTATTAATTTCAAAAAAGCATTGAATTTAATAATTAATTAATATTTATTCAAAGTAATAATAATATTCAGTTTGTTTTCATTTACATTGCATTAACATTTTGTTATTTTTAAATAAAATAAATAATCCATTTTTGTTGTGTGTAATAAAACGAAATTCTTGCGGAAATGCATTATAAATTATTATTTTTATATAATATTATCAAATTATTTAAATCTGAAAAATTTTAATCAAATTTGATACTGATTGAAATAATTTACATTAGCTTAATTAATTTATTTGCAAAGTTTATAAGCAAAAAACTACGTTGCTTAAACAGTGCTAAATATTTCAAATGAATCTCTATAAATATTTCTTGACATATATCCTTGTATTTTAGGAAAATATATAAACCATATTTGTTACAAAAAAAAACAGTTTGAACTGATTTCCGAGGCTCAAAATCTTATAAGACGTTTTAAAGTGTCCTCCAGATAGCCTTAAGCAACCAGTAAACCTAACTTGGTACAGCTAAGCACAACAAGATATCATTGCTAGAATCCCCCCCCCCTCAAGAGAAGGGCAACATTGCAATATTGATTTGTTTCAAAATCCTTTTTACTGGTTATTTTAGGGCCACCTATAGTTACTTTATTTGTTTTAAACAGTAATAAATCTTTTTAAAAATCTTCGATCTATATTTGTATGCATATATGGGTATTATATGAAAATTTTATGCCAACTTTTAAACATGAAACAAGCTTCAAAAGATTCCACTGACTCAAAAGGTTTTTCAAAAAAATCAAAAATTATTGGCTAGGAAATGGGCTAAAGAGTACGTAGAACAGAACTCTCTACCTATGGCAATACTTTGCATGTTTTCGCCATTAGCGTGTGGACAGTCATGGGAAAAAGAAGTACGTTAGTTTCTGTCTTGATTTTCAAATAGATTAAGAACTTTTAAGTTGGAAAATTAGATAGAACTGGAAACTATACAGAACTGAAAACTATATTGAACAATGTTCTAAAAGCAAGCACCGTGGAGAAAGGGGAAAATGTCGTATAACATTTCGATTGAACTGAGATGATGAGGAGAGAAAAAGGTGGAGTAACATGAAATGGAACTGCTCTTCTGCCCAGATAGCGTATTCGATAGTTGCGATCGTGAATCCTCGAAATAACTCCAAGTGTACAAATTTCATTGGTAAAATGCCCAAGCAATAGTCTTAAACAAAGGAGCTGCATAGCATTTTCCAACTTTTTCAAAACGTGATTTTGTAGATGGTGATTTTACACCTCCTATGCTTTATTTATTTAAACAATATTAATTTTTTTTAAAAATTGTGCGTAATATTTTTTGGATGGGTATTTTCAGAAAATATAATGCTCATTTTTCGCATCAGAAATCAGTTTTAAGCGTTTCAAGCGTGTCAGGCAAATCTTTTTTAAAAAAGAAATGGAAAAAATAGTAGTAAATGTTAAATAAAGCAATGAGATCGTTATTGACGTCTTTTATCTTTCACCAAATTTAATAACTAACAGAAGTTAGAAGCAAAAGAGTTCTCACAAAGTTGTACTGTTTGTTTTACAATGTTGCAAAAGAGTGTCATATCAGTTGTACTTGGAATGAAAATTTATAAATATAATTTGCATTTGGATGAATTGCAAGAATCACGAGGATAGGTTTGATTGCGGGAGGAAAGAGAGAGGAATTAAAAAGCGGTTATTCTAAGCACCCTCAGCTTTCACCCTATATTTGAATCTGTTTTGATGTTTATTACATCTGCCATCCTCTACTGTAATTATTAAATATATTAATTGGTGACCACAACTTTGCTAACTTTTTCTATTTTCGATTTTCGTAAGTTTGCTAAAAAAAAATTGGGATTTATTTATTTTTTTTAAAAAAAATCGGAAAAATTATTGCCTATTTCAAATTCGCGATCGCAACACTCGAATACGCCATCTGGGGAGAGACCGGTTTCATGCTTTTAGCCCTTCTCCCTTCCCTCTCCTCCTCTTTTCAGTTGTATAGGAATGTACTACAATATTTTCCCTTTTCTTAATATTTTTCCTTTTTATTTAATAAGAATATTTTTTAAAATTTCCATAATACTTTTCTTTAGAACTATGTTTAATGTAGTTTTCAGTTCCATATAGTTTTTCAAGTTAAAGGATTTCAATCTATATGAAAATCAAGAGAGAAACTAACGTACTTCCTTCCTCTATGACTTTCCACACGCTAATGGGGAAAGCATGTGAAGTGTTGCCATAGGAAAAGAGTTCTGCTCTACGCCACCTGCAGCCCATTTCGATCGCCAATAAAGCAATGCGATCGTTATTAACATATATTAATGAAAGTTAAAAAGCAATTATTCTAAATACTTTCAACCAATAATTGAACCTATTTTGATGTTTTTTACATCTGCCGTTCTCAACTGCAATTATTAAAATATTAATTTGTGAACAGAAATGTGCATACTTTTTCTATTTTCAATTTTGGTAAGGGTTCCTAAAATACAAATTAGGGATAGTTTTCACAGAACACCGTGTTTTTATTCCAATACTTCCATAAAATGTTACTTGAAAATTTTTAATGACAAAGTAAAAACTGTGCAATTCCACACTCTGTTTTTATAATAAAATAATTCTACGCACTTCTGCAACTATGTTTTAACTTTATTTTTAAGTAAATGCATTAAAATGGCAAGTAAAAGTAAACAATAAGTATACAGGCTTTTAGTATGTCATAATCGAAGTACGAAATTATAGCAATAACTTATTTGAAATCTTCTTTGAATAACTTATTAAAGCTCACAGTCCTTTTTCAAGGGGTGATTTTAAAAATGCGCCATCATGAGTAAACAGAAATTATTTTTTCCATATTATTTTAGCAAGTTTTATTTTCAAGTAAATACATTAAAATAGGAAGTAGCAATACTAAGTATTCTTACTTTTAGTGAACATTAATCTACGTACGTATAGATTTTATCCTTTTTTTCCTTACTATTACAATGGCCGAGGGCACAGGCGCGCAGAAGAGAACTTTCAACGGAAAAAAAAAATTCTGGATGAGAACAAAAAGATATTTAAATATTGGAAAGAGTTGATCAAACCTCCCATATTTCCCTTAAATAAAAGTGGAAGAATATATTTTATCTTAAAATTTCCCACAACTGTGGAATTCGTTTTTTTCTCCTTCATATAACAAAGTTTGGATTCATCCTTTCAACTGAATCGAAATGTGTGAACAGTCCCTTAGTACAGCTTCCATATCTTGCATTCTCTTTTTAAAAAAGAAGGGGAAAAGAAAAGAAAGAAATCCAATATTATCTATTGTATTTTATTATCACTATTCTTATCTTTCGTTTCTCTCACTATTAAGATAATCATGAAGTAAAACAATACAATTGTTAAGTTTTGTTTAGATTTTGTTTCGGACTCGTATGCCTCTAAAATTTGCATTACCCACAAAGTTCTTTAAACTTTTTAAAGAAATAACACCTTCATTTAATATTTAAGTGCACATATCAGATTTTGCTATATCAAACGCAATTTTTATTTTTTAACTTAAGATTAATATTGAATTAAGATGAACGCATACATTCCTATTGCCAGTGCAATAGCATTACCTCATGTTGGGGGCATATTAACTGCATTTTTAACAAGAAAAGAAATCAAAGGTTATTATGAGGTAAGTCCATTAATATACATTTTTTTTCTCCAAAATTAATGATTTTGCTCAGCAAATCAAAATGTTAGTTTTAATATAATTTCTCTATATACATTTCTTAATATTTTGTGCATAGATTACTTATCTATAAGGCAGTCAAACACGTTTTAAACAGACATATGAAGTTAATTGGCAACTTTAAAATTCGGTTACTATTTAAAAATACATCTTTTAAAGAGGCTAATATGATACTATTAAATCAGGAACCTAATTTACGAGAACTTCAATTATATTATCCTCGTAATGTTATAAAGAAATGTCATTTTTGCAGACAAATGTTATTTTCATGGACCCCTTCAATTTAAAAATCTTCACTATAGGAAATAGTATTTTAACCCAAAATGCGCTAAAAGTTAAGCGTAATGTATGTACAGTGGGCAAAGAAAAAGAAACCACCCTGAATAACTTTTGATATAATGATAGGACCTTCACGTTCTGGAACTCAATCTTTAAGTTTCGAGAGGATGACTTCGAATATGCTATTTAATTAGTGCAGACGATATAAGTTACGAAATCAGACTCAAAAACGTACTTTCTCTGGACAAATATACCTTTATCTTGACGAATTCATGTTTCTGATACCCAAAATATAGGGGGTAGCAGAAATCTGAGAAATATGATCCCCATACATCTCAAGAGAGCAACCCGAAGTTTGGACAGTGATGATGTGCAAAAATTGATGATGCAAAAAATTTTCAATTTGCTTAAAAAGTTCTCGAGATATGGAAAAATCCGCAAAAAGTAAAATTAAAATTAAGGGGTCGAAACTTTAGATTACTCTTCTGATCAAACTAAGGGAACTATATTTCCCAGGTTACGACTACCCCCCCCCCATTTTAGGAATCAAAAATCCGAATCCGTTGGAAAAAAAGTATGTTTATTCAGAGAAAGTACGTTTTGTGCTTGCTTTCGTATCTTAAAATATCGTCTGCACAAATTAATTAACATATTCGAGGTCACCCCTTCGAACCATTCAGATTGAGTCCTAAAACGTGATGATCCAATCATTAGATCAAAAGTTATTCGCGATTAAATAAAAGTTTTATATTATTAATCTTCTTTTTTTAACTCACTGTACATACATTTTATAGAATTAGTCTCAGTAGGCAAAATTTACGAAAATAAATATTTTTGAGACATTAAAACTTACAAGTTTAGTTATCGAAAATTCATCTTGAGCGAGGACAGGGATTTTTCACTGTTTTTACAAATGTCCGTTTTACCTAGAAAAAAATCCCCTTATTTACACATTCATATTTCTTTATTCAAGCCTACTACTCAATGAAATCTTCGTTTACCGTGATTTGGGATGAGATTCGATTTTTTACGTTAAAAGTTGGATGTTCGATCATATCGTACGTTCTCCGATCATGCGTCATAGTTTCAGAATCCTCTCAATGTATTGTCACGTGCTGCTTCAGAGTCAGGAAGTTCTCTTTACGGTTGGCTTGTAAAAAAACTTTAAATAAAGTTACTATAAAGGTCGCAGTAAATATGTACGATATTATGACTTATGGTACCGATGTTATGGTTAAACCGAGGACCATTTTTTGGAAAAATGTGTAAAACTCTAACAATGAAAGATTTTATATCGAGGTACTCTAAATTCTATTTACTTGCATTTAATTTGTAATTGCAATGAAATTCTTATAACATTTTAGAAACTCAAGCTTCCCTCTTGGAGACCCCCTAACTACGTCTTTGGCCCAGTGTGGACAACATTGTATACTGGAATGGGTTATGCTTCATACTTAGTTTACAGAGATGGAGGAATGTGTGACCCCAACGGAGCTGCACAACTACCTCTGAGACTATATTATTTGAATCTCGCTTTAAACTGGTCATGGTCAATCATATTTTTTAAGCTTCATAAGAGAGGATTGGTAAGTCACTCCTATTTCTTTCATTTCTAAGTTTTATCATATAGTTATATGGATAGTAAGAAAAGTTTATTGCATCTTCTCAAAATGAACGCAGTATTGCAGAGAAAGGTTAACTCTTTATGCAGATGAACATCTGTGTCCCTTCTAAATATTTTTTTCTGGCCCTCTAATAACAATTAAGAATATATTGAGGTACTTTTTAATTATAAAAAAACTCTTATAGTTACTAAAAATAAGTTGTTAGATTATCGGAATTATATTTGTACTAATATATAAAATCCAAAAAGATAAGTTTGAAAAAAAAATTCATTCATATTCAAAAATTCATCAATAATTGACTTTGTAAATTAAAAAAATTTTAATAATGAATAGCTGTTTTTCTTAGATCTAAATAACTGCAAATAAGAGCACTCTTTAAAAAAATATTGTTTGGAAATGAGCTGTGTTTGGAAGATTTTAACTTTAACGCAGAAAGAGACACCGGTATCTTATGCTGTATTTCATAACCATAAACATAGCCTATTGTGCAGCCCTAGTGCGACGTAAATGAACAAAAACAACAACATAAACATAAGCTATTAAAATGCTAAATATAATATTTTTCAATTATTTTGACCTATATTAATACAAAATAATAAAAAGAGTATGAAAAATATGTTTGATGAAAATTCCGTGACAAAGGATTAAAACAATTATTTTACAACGTGAAATTATATGTTTTTATTGTAAAATAACTCGGTGCCGTAGCCAAGATTTGATTTCGGAGGTTGATCATATTTTATATATATATTTTAGGCTATATTATGCCAGCGCAGGTCGTTGGGCAGAGGTGCCATCTCCTCTGCTGAGGATAAAAATTGTGATGGCAAGTCTTCGGATCATCCTTGGGGATGTTCCTCAGATCGTCGACAATAACCCATTGTAGAGCCGGGATAGCCTGGTTGGTAGGGTACTGGGCCCATGTCCAAGAGTCCGTGGATTCGATCCCAGGCCAGACGAAGACTCCCCGTGTAGTAAATGGTGACTGATACACGCTAAACCCGTCGTGTCGCAAAGTCCTCCATGTTCCCATAACCAATCAATACCTCTGGTGGTACGGATCCAGGAGTTTCCTTGCCTTCTGGATTGGTTCAAAATTACAAGGCTACGGAGTTGAACATTAGTAGTCGTAAACCCAAAATTGGGTCGACTGTTCAACGACGGATATAAAATAAAATAAAATTGTCCATTGTGAGACGTCAATGAAAAACAACAAAACAATCTTCTCTAACAAACAATTATAAATTCGTTATTATATAGCTTGTATTCATCATTATTTTACTATAGAATATGCCAAAACAATTCTGTTCCATATTTTTTAATACTCCAGAACAGAACTGGTTCATCAGAGAATTGTTTTGTTCAAAATGATACTGACTTTACAACTTCAACCAAAATTTATTTATTATTATTACAACTGAAATATCGTGAACTAATTGACCTAAATTTATTCACAGAAATATTTGTGATAAATCGGTGTTATTTTTGCAATTAATATTAAAATGTGAATTAAATATTTACAAAAACAATTAGATGTTGTCATTTATAATCAAATCTTTCTGAGGGTTTATTATATTCAGATATAAGCGGTTTCTCGAGATATCCCAGTGCTCCTGTGAATATTGCAGACATAGTTTCTAGTACCGTTCATCTTTACTATTTTGTAAATGCAATATTGTAATATTTTAACATGAGTTTGATGCAGTACAGTTATAGTCTGCACGCATACGTAAAAGATCATAAAGAAGTGATAACTCAAAAAGTCGTATCAATGTCGTTAATATGACAATCTTTTTAAATTAACACCGACATTATCAAGAATCGAGTTAAGTCCATATTGTGCAAACGGAGAAAAACCATTGTAAACTGATCACCTATCTATCTTGCATGTTGAGAGTTGAAATAAAACATAGTATTTACTTTACAATGCTCTTGAATGCTATTACAAATCTTCTAAAAAATTGGCGATCGAAATGGGCTGCAGGTGGCGTAGAGCAGAACTCTTTTCCTATGGCAACACTTCACATGCTTTCCCCATTAGCCTGTGGAAAGTCATAGAGGAAGGAAGTACGTTAGTTTCTCTCTTGATTTTCACAAAGATTAAAATCTTTTAACTTAAAAAACTATATGGAACTGAAAACTACATTAAACTTAGTTCTAAAGAAAAGTATCATAGAAATTTTAAAAAAATATTTTTATTACATAAAAAGGAAAAATATTAAGAAAATGGAAATTATCGTAGTACATTCTTATACAACTGAAAAGAGGAGGAGAGGGAAGGGAGAAGGGCTAAAAGCATGAAACCGTTCTCTCCCCAGATGGCGTATTCGAGTGTTGCGATCGCGAATTGACCAGGGAAAAAAAATTGGAATATATTTTGGAATTTCACTGAATTGGAGAAAGAGTATTAGCACATTCGTTGTGGCATCACGTGATATAGGCAATCGCAACGCTCGAATATGCCATCTGGGGAGAGACTGGTTTCATGCCCTTGGCCGTTCTCCCTTCCCTTTCCTCCTCTTTTCAGTTGTATAGGAATCGTATATTTTCCCTTTTCTTAATATTTTTCCTTTTTATTTAATAAAAATATTTTTTAAAATTTCCATGATACTTTCGTTTAGAACTATGTTTAATGTAGTTTTCAGTTTCATATAGTTTTAAAAATTAAAAGATTTTAATCTATATGAAAATCGAGACAGAAACTAACGTACTTCCTTCCTCCATGACTCTCCACACGCTAATGGTGAAAGCATGCGAAGTGTTGCCATAGGTAGAGAATTCTGCTCTACGCCACCTGCAGCCCACTTTGATCGCCAATCGCGTGATCTTTCCAACAGTTTGTATAGCAATAACATATTGTGTATTAAAATACACTTGTGGTAAAACATAAAAACTGAAAAGGTTTCTAAGAAAATTTTACTTTGAATTTATCCTTTATAGATTACCATATTTCAATGATAGATATAGCATAACCACTTACACTCGGCTACTAATGAACGTCTTAAAATCATATACCAAAAGTTAACCTAAACCCTATTCTTAAATAACAATGTTATGCTTTTTGTATTGTGGGCGTCAAATTTATATTATACTAAGCATGATAGCATAAATTTTAAAATGTAGAAGTAAATATAAAGTTTTATAACGTCATAAGTTCTTATGTACTGATATTTTAAGAAATTTACAATAAAAAATAAACGACGTGATTTCAAAAACAATTAATCAAGGTTTTTATAATATAGTGTTCCACTCTGCATAATGCAATTTGATAATCTGTGAAACTGGAGAGAAATTGTGTACTTTACAATAGTGCTCATCATCAATATTTTAATGCAATTTAACAATTTATTGCTCAGGTTTTAAATCATATAATTGTTTCAACCCAACCTGTACATACACTTTTATTTAAAATTGCTTTTTTCCTAATATTTAATTTTTTTCTTTTTCATATAGGCCCTTGCAGAAATACTTGCATTATGGGTTAACATTGGAGCATGTGTGTACACATTTTATCCCGTTAATAAGACTGCAGCTTACCTTATGTTGCCTTACTGGGCTTGGGTGACCTTAGCTTCATCTTTGACCTACTGCATCTGGAGAGACAATAAAGACAAGAAAGATTAATTACATGTATAATATATATCATTTGCTTTTTTTCTAATACAGGCTCATTAATTTTCAAAGGTTTGAAAATGTAAAATCCTGTTAGGTTACTCAAATACATTGATATTTTTTCTATAGGCATGCTGTTTAGCTATAATTTAATTTTACTACCGAAATGATGTTCAATTTTTTAAGTGACAATAAAATATTTTATACATAAAAAAGTCTAATTATTTCCTAATTTAGCATCAGAATATAATCTGGATTGTTTCCTTGTTAAATGTTTAATATTTATTTATTAATCGAAAAAAATTTAATATTTGAAAGATATGCTCCTAAAACTTTAATTTAAAGGTCTCTGCACTGTTCATCATGAATTCTCATTATTTTTATTGCTAACGAAAAATTAAATTTTGTGAAGCTTGAATTTAATTTGAAAAATAATTAATTATGCATTTTTTGTAGTAAATACTGATATTAAAGGTTTCTTGAAGCTAAAAAACTAAATCTTGGATTTTTAAAAATTTATTTTCTTTTTCATCGGATATAAAAAAAATTCTTTAAATAGATTCACAAATTTCTGAAATAATTGCGTCAAAATGTTACTTGTTTTTTCTAGGCGTAGTATAGATTGTTTACAAAACTCAAGTTTCACGGTATGGAAAATTTTCAAAACTTAATAGAATTTCATATTAAAATTCGGTTAAAAGTATAAATGAAAAAAATATATATAACTCTTAAATGTACTTTCAAATACACTTAACCAAATACGTTTACTGCAATAATTGTAATTATACATTGTTTTGCAAATGCACATTAAAACAAGCAGCAAACAGCTATCAGCTGATTCCACCTTCCTCAAAAGATATTCGCATGAGTGGTGATATTGGTGCTATACTTTTATTTTTCGCTTATCATACGCTATCTACATTTTTTGTTTTGTGTTGAGGAGATTAAAAAAATATATATATTTATGGTGTCCGAGAATTAATTTAGCATATTGGCGATCGCAACACTCGAATACGCCATCTGGGGAGAGACCGGTTTCATGCCTTTAGCCCTTCTCCCTTCCCTCTCCTCCTCTTTTCAGTTGTATAGGAATGTACTACGATATTTTCCCTTTTCTCAATATTTTTCCTTTTAATTCAATAAAAATATTTTTTAAAATTCCCGTAATACTTCTCTTTAGAACTATGTTTAATGCAGTTTTCAGTTCCATATAGTTTTCCAACTTAAAAGATTTGAATCTATATGAAAATCAAGAGAGAAACTAACGTACTTCCTTCCTCTATGACTTTCCACACGCTAATGGGGAAAGCATGTGAAGTGTTGCCATAGGTAGAGAGTTCTGCTCGACACCACCTGCAGCCCATTTCGATCGCCAATACTAGCATATATGACACTTTTCTAAAAGCATGAATCCCGTTTTTTCTTTCTTTTTTTTTTCATTTCTTCTCATCAAACTAGTTTGGCATAAATCCCTCAGTGAAAAAGGGAAAATAATTATGAAGGAAAGGCAAGGAAATTGCAAGGAAAGACAAAATAATAATTTTGTCATAATGAGCGATTGAATTTCAAAGTAGCCAAGTCAAGCTACTGTTCGCAAATAACAGCACTACTTGTGGCACGGGAAATGGTTTGTGTTTGCTGGCGATGACTCGATTTCGGAAAATTGCTGAAAATTTCGCCCTGAAATAAGTTAGCCTTTGATTTTCTTTCTTTATTTTTTTTAATAAATTTGGTGCCTTTTTTAATTTTTTATTAATTTTTTATATGTCTCACTATCTTGGAGATTGAAATGGGGTACAGGTGGCATAGAGCAGAACTCTTTGCCTATGGCAGCACTTCGCATGCTTTCAGCATCAACTTGGAGAGAGTCCAGGGACTAATATAGGGGATAAGGACATTTAACTTTCCCGGGGGGGGGGGTTAGAAAAGCAACACGCTTTTGACAGACCGGTTTTACGCACAAAAAGTGGCGTTCGCGTCGTCGTAGTGATTATTTTCTGACATCTCCGCCGTACCTTTGCATTGCGCGTAATCAGTGTTGATCATTAAAAAGCAATTTAATTTAAATTCTAAAACTTTTTCATTTCCGTAAACCAGTATATTATTTTGTATATTGCTTAAAGATGTCTATTCATTACTCATAATTTATTTGTTTGTTTATTGAAGCTTTAAAAGCAGAGATCATTCAGATTACGAGCAATTATATACTATAGTTTCGGTTTTGTTTAGTTTTGGTTTTCAGAACTTAGATTAATTAAAACCGAAGGAAGGATATTTACTTATCCAACCATAGTTATTAGTTTGAAGCGTCTGGTTCTATTATAACTGAAGTATAGATGCTTATATTAGCATTTTTTTATATTTAAAAATATGATTTAACAGAAGGAGTTCGAAACTAAAATCCTTTGAATTTTATAAGTTTACTATTATTGTTTTAAAATCGTAATAATTAAAAATGCACATCAATGACACATTTTTTTAAAGCCATGCAACCGTAAATTTGTTAAATTTTCCGATGAGAATTAAAAATAAAAATCTTTTTCATGAAAATAATTATTCGTAGTATTTATTATGAACTCGATTGTATTATC